TGGAACGTCAAAAGAGAAAACATAAATAAGTCTTGGAGAAAATGCAACCAGGGTGCTCCTTAGAGGCTAGGATGGTGAAACTTCATCTCACATACTTTGGGGGTGTTGTTAGGAGGGTTAAGTCATTGGAAAAAGATTACGTTCTTGGAAGGGTAAAGGATCAGCGAGAGAAAGACCCTCAGCAAGATGGATTGTCACAGTCACTGTAACAATGGGCTCCAGCGTATCAGAAATGATGTTGGCACAGGATAGAGCAAGGCGCAGATCCTTCCTTGCAAGGGTCACTATGAGGGATACTTGACTCCAGGGCGCCTAACAATTCTGTACCTACACTGCTCATTTTATATCTCAAAAGTGATTGGTGTTAAGCACAACAGAGTGAAGTATTCTAATTAATGTGAGACAATTCTGTCCTCAGATGGGTTACATCCAGAATACATCCTTCGCTGTCATGGTGGAGAGCACCCCTTGCTGTGACGGTGGAGTACACCCCTCGCTGTCATGGAAGGAACTCTACCTCACAGCATCCCTACCGGACAGGGAAGAACTGCCCACAGGGGGTTCTGGGCAGTAAGTCTTCAAAAAGACTGCCTCACAGCTAGTGACTTTAAGCCAACAACCCTTCGATTAGCAGTCTAAGGCTTTGACCACGGTGTCACTAGGGTTTTTTCATCTACAATATAGGATTCACAACACATGTTTTAGGGGCTTATAATACAATCTATAAGAGGGTAAAAAAGGGAATCTGATGGAAATATAGCCGTACTGCTATCTGTATGCCATAGCTACAGGCAAATAACACTCAAATTTCTCTTATTGTTCATTCCTTAAGGTCAGCAAGCTTATCCAGGAACCTCAGGGTCAGCAGATGGAGAGTAGAAAGGGGATGAAGAGGAGGAGGAAGTTGAGCCAAAAGTCTTAGCAATACACATCTGCTGCCCAAGACAGCGGAGACCATAGGAACTGGGCAGAAGTGTAGACATTGATAGCAATGTCAGTGGTCATTGACAGGGGACATAATTGGTTACTGATAGAAACAGCTATGGTCATTGATAGGGACATTTATCATCATTGTAGGGACATCTATGCTCATTAATGGGTACATTCATGGTCATTGATAGGGGACATCAGTGGTCACTGATAGGGACATCTATAATCATTGATAGGGATACTTAAAGTCATTGATAGGTACATCTATGGTCATTAATGGGTACATCCATGGTCATTGATAGTGATGTATCTAATTCGAAAAGCACAATGTGGGGGGGAAGTAACAATCCAACTGCTATTTGGGAGATAGGTCTAGAAAAATTCAAAACTGGCCAACACAATTAGTAGCCGTGGATATTAAAAGGTCATACACACACTAGAATTAAGTGGAGAGTCATTTCTCATGAAAAATATTCAGGAGGAAATATTACCAAATGTCGTGTCTGCTGTCTGATACCCACACTCTGGCCTCTGCTGTTCCTCCCTAAGCCCCCATAAATCCACGGGAAGCTCCTTTTTATCGATTTTATCTGCACAATGCACTTGGGGTATAAAGTAATTTGATTTTTTTAAAATGGGGTTTAGGGTCTGCCTCTACAGGGTTATAACTTACCAAGCGTAAAAGCCAAGACATAAAAACAAACATACAATTTAAAGAGAGAAGGGCTCGAGGCAGCCAAGCCCAGGCCTCTGGTGAGGTGCTGGGATTGCTCCCAGGCGTGCCCACCTGCCCATGTGTCTGCGGGCTCGAGTCTCCTGGTGGGTGATATTTTGGATGCCTTTCATGCACGGCACTGCTGAACTGGCTGGAAAAATGCATCAGATCCTCAGAGTAGAATGTCATCATTTGGCAAATGCTAAGGGAGAAAGGGGGATTTTGCTGTTTTTGTGGAGAATGCGGTTACTAGACTTAGCCATCTTTACAGCTTTTGTGAAAACACCGTGTCCTCATCACAGCCCACAGCCCAGGCTGATGGATGCCCCCAGCGTGTCCCCAGCCACTCCCCCTGCCTGTGCTCAGCCCTGCAGCACGCAGGCTGTAAAGGGAAGAATGATGCCTTGAGTTTTTATTCTTCCTTTCAGACAATCTCTCCTTTTTTTTTAATCCTCAGCAATCTTGGGTAATTAAATTTTATCGAAGAACTTTTATTTTCCTTTACCAATCCCATTATGGGCCTGCTGCACTTGTCCACTGCCTCATAAAGAGAAAGAGGGGGAAGGAAAGCCCCCACCTTTGTGACTTAGCCACTCTGTAAGGTTTACCACTCTGTGGTTCACAGAGTGCATGCGTGATGAGAAAGCTCTGTCCTTGAAATCCCAGCAGCAAGGAGGCTGAGGAAAATAAGCTGAATGCCCTGTGTGTGGTCCTGGTGCCTAGAGGCAGGAAGGGGCTGGCTGGGCAGAAAGGACCTTGGTGAGGCTCTTCGCTGGTCTGGTGATCACATAACCAAGAGGTACGGTCCTAAATATGAGGAGTGCCTGCTTAGCTGTGCAGTGGAATTGCCAAGACTTCAAAAGAGGCAGGGGAGCTGTGCTCGCCGGGGGCACGCCGGAAGCACACCTGGCAGCCAGCGATCAGAGTCTTTGAAAGGGAGACTCAAAGCTGAGCTTCAAAGACTGCCATCAGGTTCTGCAAAAAAACTATGAAGGCTGCACACGAAGGGGCAGAGTTGGCCTATTAAGAGTAGACCAGTGAGCCGTCTCTTTGGGGACATCTACTCTGATGGGAAATTAGCATCATGCATCACAGCATCTTTGAAAGCAGATGCAAAGATCTCTCTGGACACCAGGCACAAAACCTGGGTTCCTTACTAGGAAAGGTCTCGACTGTACCATCTAACTGTCGTCCGAGCTGCTGTGGCCCAGAGCTCCAAGCAGGGCCGGTTCAGGGAGTCTGTAGTCTTCTCCAACTCAATGTGCCAACTCTTCTGTTCAGCTTCATGAGTCAGGTAGACCAGCAGCCTCATGTGGGCCACTAATACAAACTAAGAGTGGCTGAGACTTCACTTTGTACTAAATATGTTAACATCCATGCACAAAACAACTTGGCTAATACTTCCAGAGGTTCTGTGAGCTGGAAAATAGAATTAATTCTTTCCATTTTACGGATGAGAAAAAAAGGCCTTTGAGTACTAATGTGCTCAAACTTACCCAGAATCCAAGTGGTGGAACCAATAGCAATCTTAATCATTGTCTTAAACCACCACCATAAACATTTTAGAATTGCTTCGTCAAGTTATCAATCCTACTTTTTCACTGTGAAATAATTTTTTAAAAGTGCTTTGATTCAGTTATGGGCGTGATAACTTTGAAAATAGTGCTTGCATAGCAGTTGCTTTGATGCTCGAGTCTGAAATGTGATGTTATTATTGTTGTTTGCCATGGATAGAATTAGCTCTCTTCACAGCTCTGTGCACAACAGAACCGAACTCTGCTCAACTCTGTGTCATCCTCTCAATCGCCACCAACCTTACACCCCTTGGTGCTGTCACTATGTCAATCTATCTCATTGTCTCTTTGTCACTGACCCTCTCCTTTCCAAGCTAACGTCCTTCTCTGGGAACTGACCCCTCCTGAGAATATGTCCAGAGGACCTGAGCCTGAGCCTCATCACCTTCTCTTCTCGGAGACTTACTGGTTGTTCTTCTAAGATAGAACTGTTTGTTCTTCTGCAAGTCCGTAGTAGATCCAATATTCTTGGCCAACATCATAACTAAAAGGCACAGATTATTATTTAGTCTTCTTTACTCATTACCCAACTTTCACAGGCACACGAGGTGATTGGAAATACCGTTGTCTGAGCTAGGTTTTTCTTCATCCTTCAAAGGGACATCTTGACTCTAGTTCTTTAAAGAAGTCCTTTGTAATAGGTTTTTGCGATACGCCATTTGATTTCATGATTGCTACTTCTCTGTTAATCTTGATGCCCAGTTCTCATTCAGACAGTCTTGGTTCTCAGATTATTTGTTAAACATACAGATTAAATAAGGGTGGTTAAAAGATACAACTTTGACCCATGCTTTTCCTGATTTAAAATCAGGCAGTATCTCCCGGTTGAATTCAAGCACCTCCCTCTTTGGTCACATGCGGGTACTGTGTGAACCACTGGCACAAGGGTAGCAGTCAGGGTCAAAAAGGACGTGAGAAGCCTCTTGGCAGGTACTAAGTGCAAATCTATCTCCTGCACACATTCGTTCTAAGATATGATTACAGTGACTACATTTTCAGCAATGCTCTGGCTCTTGGCTCCTTTTAATTCCTTTAAAAATAAATGCAATTTCCAAAAAAAAAATAATTTTTCATTCTGAAGTGAAAAGCATAGTGAATCATGATGCTTCAGTGCATTTCTTAATTTCTATAAAAAGGTGTGATTAAATAAGATCTTATCAAAAACATTTTTTAATACATTAGCTGATTTTGCTTTTGATGTAACATGTAATTGTTTTGTCTCTCTTTTACATATGTGGAGACGGAAGTCAAAGGTGTCGCTCAAGAATGAAAAAGAATTCTGTGTTTAAAAAAAAATAGTGCACAATAAATAAGTAACCACAGAACCATTTACTCATTCATCCATCAATCATGGATAGACTTAGTGTGCCAGACTCTGGGGGGCTAGGATTACAGCGATGAGTAAGGAAACCCGAGTCCTGGTAACGTTTTAATCATGGATGCAAAAGTATCTAAATTGGGGCCCCCTGACCTACAGCCCCCATTCCATCACCTCCAGATCGCAACTCCCCCATCACACAACCCATGCAGCCTCCATCTTCCCGGAATCCCCTGCCTGTCCAAATGCAGGAATCACAGAACTCGGGGAACAGGGATGTGGAGGAGAAAAAGTGGTGCTGAAAGTAAAGAGAGGATGTCTAAGGAGAGATGAAAAGGATGCAGCAAAAACACGAAATGAAACAAGAAAGTCACAGCCCTGCTCTGCCGACAGTAATTCCGCTTTGGTTTCCGGCTGGCCTCCTCCACCTAACTAACATTGTCTTTTTCTCATTCCACTGCAGCAGCAACATTGGCGTGTTCTTCTGTGGACCCAAGGCTCTGTCAAAGACACTTCAAAAGATGTGCCGCTTGTATTCATCAGCTGACCCCAGGGGTGTGCAATTTTATTACAACAAAGAAAGCTTCTAAACTTCGCAAAGTCCAGGTATTGTGTAAGTGGCTCTGATCACACAGGTCACAAGTGAAGAAACTTTTTTTTTCTTTTTTTTTTTTTTTTTGGTAAAGGGCCAGAGAGCAAGTATTTCTTGCTTTGGGAAGCATTCCATTTCAGTCAGAATTACTCAACTCTCAAAAATAGCTATAAACAATATGCAAAAGAGAGATGTTCCCCCCCCCAAAAAAAAAGATTTCTCTGTAGACCAACAGAATTTTGCAGAATTCTCTTAAGTTATGAGATGGCCTTTGCTATTTTTTCCTTTTCTTTTTTTAACATGTTAGTGTGTTGGATAAAGTTTTACAAAAAAGACCCATTTTTCATTCATACACATTACGGGTGAACGTTTATAGAGCAAGTTGGTTTTCCTTTAAACCGCGCCTGCACCTTTTGCTTCATTATATTGACTGCAGTCTGCACAGTGTAACGTCACTCATCCTATTTCTCTCCTATTTTCTTGTTTCCATTTCTCCCTGTGTGATAGAAAGATTCTTTCTGTCTTCTGAAACTTGTCCTTGGGCAAGTGTTGTTCTTTTGATCTTGGACAGTTGATTGTTCTAAGGAATGCAGCCTCCTTGTTTACCTGAAAGGCCTTTATTAAAAAAGAAAAATTTGGTCTGAAAGTTTGGGGGGTGGGGGGTGGGGGTGGGGGTGTAAGTTCAGTTCCAGACCTGAAGGATGATTTAGGGTCCCACCAGTCTCTTATCTGACCAGGTAGCTTGGTCTTGTTTATGATTTAGAAATTTGTTCCCCATTTGCCTCTACTATACCCACAACCTTCAGATTTACCCAGCACCTTCATATAGTGGACAGCGTTTGCTAGGCACTATCTAGTTCTTCTGGTCTCAAGGTCAAGGAGGCTGAGGTTCACGTATCTGTTATTAGTCCCTTGGATGAACTGCTTCCATGCATCTTTGGTTTCCTTGGTTCTTCTTTGCTCCAGAAGGGAGAGACCAGTAGTTGCACTTACTATAATCACTCACAAAGTTTTAAGGCCCAAGTCATGCTCACCAGAGTAGAATATAGAACAATTTTTTTTGTAGACTACATTGTGTCAATTGACCTTGCTGACCTACAAAATTATATCTTAAGCCCTCAGATCCAGAAATTCATTCCTAGAGACACTTGGTTATAGCTAAAAAGTTTATTCCCTATATGCTTTATGATATTCGTGGACATATTTGCAGTATATATAAATGTATATGTAGAAATATCCTCTGTGAAGCCTACATAGCTCTATGGGTATTCTCCCATACTGTGTCCTATGTGCATTCAGCTTGCACGTCTATGCATGATCTCACCCACAGATTATTATTACTGTTAATACAAGCTTGTCTATTATTTCTTTTTATGACAGGCACATTGTGCTCTTTCCAGAGTCTTCCTCATGATCCTTTTGTGCTGACCTCCTCTTTAGTGTATATCAATTTCTTCTTCATCCAAGTTAATATTTGCCTGCCTTCTACTTAGTGGTGTAACTTCCCTTCCTTTTCCACCCTTGTCAGTGTTGTTGCGTGCCATTGATTCAGAACCGACCCATAGTTGACCTGCCAGAGGGTTTTCAGAGGCAGTTAACTGCACAGGCAGGGATTGCCTATCCTTTGAAGCATCATCCACAGAGCAGCTGATGGAATCAAACCTTGTGCCTTTAGAATTGCCACACAGATTCTTACCACTAGGCCACCAGAGCTCAATAACTGTCAAAGAGTATTTCTTTTTGTGTAAAAAAAAAAACCAAACTTTTCTTGACTTTTTAAAAATAGTATTCTTATAGGATATTTATCCTTTTGTAACTGACTTATTTCTCTCTACATAATATCCTCCAGGTTCATCCATTTAACTGATGTTTCTCAGATTCATCATTCCACTTTACTATTGCATAGTATTTCGTTATATCTGGGAACAAACTTCACCCAAGTATCTACTTAAGGGCATTCATTGAAGTTTCCATCCTTTTGTTACTGTAAATAGAGCTGCAATGAATATGGATGTGTATGTATCTATTCAAGTCTCAGATCTTATTTCCATAATATATACCTAGTAGTAGGATCTTTTGATCTCTTTTTCAAGACTTAAAAATATGCAAATCATTCTTAGCTCGTGGACTGTATGAAAACAAGTGGCCAGCCTGTGGGATGTATTTTGCTGACCTCTGATAAAGTCATTCTTTCTTTAACTGGTAGTCACACTTAATTTCACATCCGATGTGTAAACTAATTGCTGCTTGGTGTGTAGTCTCCTCTAGAAGTCATTTCAAATATTCATCACCCTCATGGCAAAGACATCTGCCTTATATCCAAATCTGATCTCTTCTACTTTAAACCTAAGCCCTGTGGTGCTTATAAGCCTGAGAAATCACCTAGGAGTGTTATCTTTCAAACGAACATTTATGTACTTGAAAACGATAACAAATTTACCCCTTACAGATTCCTTTTCTGCAAAAAACACAAAACCAAAATTCTTAACTTTTAAATCCAGTATGTATTTTCAGCATTTCAGTTACTCTCGGTGTTCTTCTTCAAATTAATTTCCATTTCTTCACATTGTTTTAGAACGCCTGACTAAAACAGGACGTAATATCCCGGTGGAGTGCTCAACAATACTCTAGTGGTGTAGTGTGTACTATAAGGGACTGCAAACCTTTCATAAAGATTTATAGACTTAGAAACCTCATGGAGAATTGCTATGAGTCGGAACCAACTTCAAGCAGAAAGTTCAATATTCTAACAAAAGGGTGATAATTGTTATATGAAAAAAGGCCACACACTCATTGCTATAAAGTCAGAACCAACTCATAGCAGATCCTCAATCAGATTTTTCAGAGGTTGTAGATCACATGAGAGACTGCCATTCTTTCTAGCAAGGAACAGCTGGAGGATTTGGTGGGCAATGAAATCTCCATACTCAGTAGACAATTGTTGTTGTTGTTAAGTGCCATCGAGTAGCAGGCCACTCATAGCGACCCTATAAAGGAAAGTCCTCCACGCTTGGGTGCCTTTCATCTTCTCTCCAGGTTCATAGGGTTTCCAGAGGCAAGCTATTATGGAAGTGGATGCCACTCCTCCTTCCACGCTTGTTTTAATTGGGGAGCTCCACCCCACTCTCTGTCCACATTGGGTAACCAACCATTAAGGCATTTGACACATCAGTGTCACAGTGTTCAGCCTCACAGCAACCACAAGTGACCGTGGGATGGCAACTTGTACACCAGGGCTATACGACCTAGAGGAATATCTGAACAAAAACAATGAAAGACTGGTCTGAGGGCCATGGATTAAAAGTCACCCACCTTTGTTTTGGTCACATCGTTTTCTCATCACTGGGCCAGCTGATCTCTCTCTCTCTTTCTCTCTCTGTTGATGTTATTGATGTTAAGTGCCATCGAGCCGCAGGTGACTCATAGCGACCCTATGAAGGAGAGTCCTCGATGCTTGGGGTTCCTTTCATCCTCTCTCCAGGTTCATAGGGTTTCTGGAGGCAAGCATTAGAACTCCCTAAATACTGTGTTGAAGAGTGATTTTCCTTTATCTTTTTAATTCAACTAAATTTTACATTTGTCTTCCTTTTTTCAGCCATTCAATTTCCTTTTTCACTCTCTTTACAAACCTGCACTTTATTGCCATCTCATTTTGGTTGACAGCCATCGCGACACTTGTGCCCAAACATTACTCCTATAAATACAAGAAGAGTATCTTTCATACTTCAATTGAGCCAATCTTTCCATGTCATGTAGTTCCTTTACCCTAAAAGTATTTCCACAGTTAGCTTCATATTTTTTAGCTTCTTCTATGAGTATTGATTAATTACTTAGAATTCTAATATTTTAAGGTTATTTTGAAGTTTAGATTAATTACAAAGACTAATATATAGCAAAGTAATATCTGAAGTTTTACCTAGTGATTTCTGAAATCTTTTGCATATATTTTTAATCAAGAGGTTGACTAAAGAATTTCACCCAAAGGTATAAAGATTATCTCAAAGAACTTGCTTTAAGAAACAGATAATGATAGCCATTGCAAACAATACAGCTCACCATTAATATTAGTTTATAAATATGTCATACACAATAGGACAAAAACCATTTTACTAGAATATGTTTTCTCAAATGTTTCCTATCTTTATTGTCAGTCACAAATTATTTGTTTTTACAAGTCAGACTGCTACTTTAGTTCATCCATTTCTAAGTTACAAATTGATTCTTCTAGTTTATCCTTGATGTTAATGTTTATTCAGTATTGGTTATATTTCAATATGTTAAAGAAATTCTTTCTACTGAATCTGCATTGGAATTTCCCAGTATCTTTACATATTGCTTGGTCCACATTATACAAAATCTATTTATGTTTATGTATTGAGTCTTGCTGTATATTAATTTCTTCATGTAAGTTGGATTCATTCTTCACAATTAGAACTTTCTATAATAAACTATATGTAATTTTTCCTTACTATAAGAACTAAATATATTAAGTGACATTTTATTGAATATATGTAATAATTACATTTTTTTCTTTATATGTGAAAAGAAAATTTGCTATCTTATTTTGCCTAATAAATTAGCATATATTTGCCCTTAAAAATGATGCTTTGTTGCCTTACAACATGTCCAAAATATGTTAGATGGAGCCTCAGAATCCTTGCCTCCAAGGAGCCACCCGGTTTGACCATTTCCAGAATGAATCTGTTTGTTTTCCTAGCAGTCCATGGTACACTCAATACTCTTCTCCAGCACCACAGCTCAAAGGCATCAATTCTCCTTCTATCCTTCTTAGTCATTGTCCAGCTCCCTGATGCATAACACGTGATTGCAAAGACCATGGCCTGTATCAGACGCACCTTAGTCTCCAGAGATACACCATTGCTCTTCGGTACTTTGGAGAGGTCCCTAACGGCAGACTTTCCCATTACAATACGTCTTTTAATTTCCTGGCTACTAGTGCCAAGAGCGTTGACTGTGGAGCCAAGTAAACTAAAGCTG